TCTGAATTATAATAAATGTGTAATCTAACAGAACTAGAGAATTTATGACCTTGAACAATTCTGTGTGCAATTAAGCTGTCAAAGTATGAAACTATTACATCAATCTCAAGGTTTACTTGAAATCCAGCTGAAGGGTGTAGACACACTTGTCATAGTGATGTGGCCGAGGACAAATAGGTTTTGTTGCTGCAAGCACCTTTCTCTCTTGTTAAATAAAAACATGGCTTATGGTCAAGCTTAAAGGTATGCTCTATAAAGTCACAAAGACCCCTGCGCTACCTCCACCCCTCTTAGAAAAAAATCAAAAAGTAACCATTTCTGGACACCTTTTTGTAAAATATTGATTGTTAAAATGTCTCCAGAATAAAAATTGTTAAGAAAACTTGTGAATGGCAATGACCTATGGGGTGCCAAGTAAAAAAAATACAATAAAATAATGAGCCACTTCAAACTGACGGACCACAGGTAACCATCTATCTCATTTTCAATAAACACATTTTGAATTGAGACTATAAATAAATACCATCTTCAGCAACGTTAGAAGCGTTAGCAGCATTTAGCGATAGCTAACCAGGATGATGTCATCATCCTGTGACAGACACCAATGCGAACCACAGCTAACACGGCTGAAGGTGGTTTTTAAAATCTGTCAGTTTGAATTGCAGCTCGAACACTGGTCGMAACTTTAAGTTTTGGTGTCTTGGGAMGCTTTAGCTGCGTTTGTAGCGTTARCGGTTGCTACTTCCTCAGGATGATCCCAACATGAGCCCAGCACCAACAGAAAAGGCTGCTTTCCATTTCAAAATACCAAAACGTAAACATCAACATTTAACTACAAGATTTACAATTACATTTACATAAAAATKTAACATTTAGTTTAAAAAAATAGGAAAATGTAGAGCAGCGAGCTAAATAACAGTAAATGTTAGAATTTGTTTTAGGTCGGATTTAACCCTCAGAAAATGAGCTAAATAATGAAAATGTTAGTGACACTTTAACATGTTTTTCACCTGGTACCCCATAATAACCATGTGTGTTTGTTGAGTGAAGTATACACAGTGGTGGGCACAGTTCCCTTAAAGCACTAACAGGGGAACTAATTTCCTTCTTAGTGCTTTAGGGCTTTTGCTAATTTAGAAATTTATTAGTGGATTAGCACTTGCTAAATTCATAGGATAAATTTAGAAGCACTARCTGAGGTCTTTAACTGTTGTTGATCCATGTTTATGTTAACAGCTGAGGGTGAAAGCTGTCACACATTTTGTTCATGGCTGTGTCCAAAACGACAGGCCGGGTCCTCCGGAGGACCCAGACTACCCGGTCGCGGCGGGCCGGGTCCTTGGTAGACCGGGAAGACCGGAAAAAAAGAGGCTGTGAATTTGGACGGTCTAGCC